GAAGAGATGGAATGTCTGGAAGCAGGGCTGTTTACATAAATCACTGTTCTGAAGAATCACTAGCTACAGTGTCTGATCATTCATCATTCAGCCTCACTTGGCTCCATCAGCTAAAAATAGGAACCTCTGATAAAGACATTTCTCAGAAAGGTGGACAGTTGAGTTAACCCTCCTGGTGATGTATTCCTCTTCAGAGACTTCATATTCTTGGCAAATAGTGATGGCCCAGCCAGGCTGCTGGAGGCTTCCTGCTAAAGGGGCAGCCACAGGAGCTGCAGAGCTGGATCCAGCAGTGAAAGCATCTGAGATGTGGCTGGAGCCCACGTTCCTGCTGTGATGATGTTCACATGGTGGAGGGTGACAGTGAGGGCAACCCAGGAGCCACGCAGACACAGCAGACTCTCATTCTGCAGGCTGTGAAAGGGAGTGAAAGGAGCTGGCTAATCATAATCATATAATTAATCATAAAAGCACAGGAGGTTCTGCACTGGCAGGTGATTCAGACTAAAGGTTAAGTCTTCAGGCTTTTGATTTCTGAGTCTTTTAAATTATTTTATTTATTAATGAATTACAGTTTTTAAATGCTGCTGCCTCGTGGAGGCTGGTGGAAACAGCCAGCTACAGCTGTGAGGGTCTATATCCTGCACACTCGCTGCTCCTTTTCCAGGTGATCTCAAAACATCTGCAGCACCACAGAGATTCCAGCAAGCCGTGAGCTCACAGCTAGAGAGAACACAGAGACAAGCTCCATTTTGTCAAAATCCTGCAAAACACTTAGTTTGACAGCTCCTCTATTAAAAGGAACGAAGCTCAGCATCTCTCAGAAGGTTGGATCTGTCCTTGCTGCAATTAAATCACTGCAGCAGCCTCTAATGGACTGTCACTGCAGAAATCCCCTCCTGGAAATCTGAGCTATATTGTCCTCTCAGGGAAGGTTTTTGTAATACAAGCAGAGAAGGATTTCATTTAATGAGAAAATAAACCATGCTTAATGAAAACCTGAAGAGTTGCAAACCATTTTAGACTCTCTGAAATCTCCCTGTTAATCTCTACCAACTTCTATTTCTTCCACAATATATGTTATAAAATTTTTAAAAAGTCAAACCTTGACACTAAGAAAAATGTTACCATCAAATCTGTTAGAAATAATTACTTTATAAGAAATAAATTTGTGCCTCATCGACTGGAATGTGAAGATGTAACATCCTTCATTGATGAAGCTACAAGAGTTGGAGAGAAACCATTTCATGCAGTATGATCCTTTTAAAGTCAATAGCATCTTTTGAATCCTGAATTTCAAATGAAATATTACCCTCCTTTAAGCAAAGGCATGCACATGTATCTGGGAAATCAATGTTATCTATCCTTTCTGCTGTAATTACATCAACCAGTTTAATTTTTGTTAAAAGTATAAGAGCTCATAGACTTAAAAATGGAAAATGAGAAACTCTTACTAATAGGATGGTTTCCAGTGTGGTTGCTAAGGGCACATGATAACAGGCACCCAAAAAATCACCCTTTCCAGGCAGCAGCACCTTGCATTAGCAGGGTACTATTTGGGTTTGTCTTGTGCTTTAATAAATATACTCTTAAGAGCATTTAAACCCAGCAATTTTTCAGGTTAACAACTGGGGTAAATTTTTGTTGATGTGAACTTTCTTTCAGGGTTTTCATGGTGTTCCAGACTAATTATCGGATATAATTAGAATAGCAGATTAGAGTAAGCTAAAGCAGAACATATAGATTCAAAACAGTCTAGATAGCTTGGGGGGAGACTTGTACTTATTTTTTTAAATGTATTTTTTTTAAACTGAGAAAACATGAGAAAAAAGACTTGACAAATGGAGATAAGAAGACTTATAAGGTTATTCTGGAGTCACTAAAAGCCCTAAGAGAATGAAGACAGGGTAGGGGTTTGGCCTTGCTTGTCAAGAACAACCCTGAGATGTTCCATGTGGGCTAATAAGGTCTCAAACCAGGTATCCCAGCAGAGCAGCCCATGGTCCCACTTCCCAGCTTGTGTGCTCTTTAGCTTCATGTCTTTCAGGGCTGGATGTATCTAGGGCTTTCTCCTGCTCTTTTGCTTTTTCTAAGCACCAGTGAGGCAAGCTGGCCCCAGCACAGTAAGATCCAGCACTCAAATCACACATTTTCCCCAAAGTTTATTCCAGTGACTTTGTGTAGACAGCAACACACATGGGGCATGTTTCAGGGACATACTGTAACAATCAAGGATTTCATTTTAATAAACAAAAGGTAAATAGAAAATACCACACAGGAGGTGAACATAAGCAACAGTTAAAACTGCATCAGGGGATACCTGCTGTTTTCTGAACTTCACAATGTTTTGCACTGTTCAGTGAGAGCAGGCTTGGGTTTTGGCTGTCTTTTCTACCACATTGTGGTGAGTTCTCAACAGTGGAAATTACAGCAAACTACCAATAAATACAGAAGTTGCTTCCTGAATATTAGGATCTCGACAAGCAGATGATCTAATTTCTTTACCACTCAACAAGTAGGTTATCTAATTTCTTTACCAGCCTCCAGTACTCATCCAGCCAGTGGCTCATAGTTATAAAATGCACATAATAATGTGTCTGAAGGGATGAGAATGCAGCAAAATGAATTGGAAATGTCTCTGCATGGTGTGCAGTCAGGTTTCTATCCTTGTGTGTGCTGGTACTTTCCCACTGAGTTTGGCCTCTTCATCTTTCTTGGACTCCTGGACTGTCTTTTTTGCTTGTGGTGGTTGTGGGGAGTTCAAGTACAAAATACAGGCTTTGCCTTAGGACCTGGAGACAATAAAAGCACCTGTGGGTTCTTTCTGGTCCCACCTGAAAATGGGTAGGGAAGTTCTTGACCCCCTCTGTTGAGCTCTAGCTTTGCACTATGTTTAACTGCACAGAGGTGTCTGTGCTGAAGGGAGGGCTAAGCACCCCCTGGGTCTTTTCCATGGTGTGTGTATAGTACTTAGAATTCAGATGGGTACTTGTGTATGGAGCCAAACCCAACTGTTTGCAACTGAATCAGTGCCACCATCCTCAGGAGGAGGACTCTAATATCAAGTGGTGATTTGAAATGTCATCTTTTCTGCAGGAGAATTCTCTGTAGGTAACATGCTGGCTGTTTTCAACCTCATTTTAGGCAAACAGAAATTGGAATTTACTGAAGTTTGCAAAGACAATATTACCCTTGATCAAAGACAGCAGATTTCAGCTTGCTCCATTTTGAAAGTCAAGCTTTTCACTAACATTTGGCATCGTAACCAGAGCTGGCACTCTTAGGCAGTGCTTTAATTATACATTATATTAACCAGTGTGAAATACTGAGCCTTATTAAGATAGCCAAAAGCTTTCTTTATAGTTGATTTATTAGAGCTTGAAATTAACTTTTCACAGTCCAGCTCAAAGAGATCAGTAGATATGGAAATTCAGCTCTGCCTACGTTGTTTCCTCACAGTTATCTCCATTGCTCTCTGCAGTCCCTTCCAATGCTTCTGCCCTCTGTAAAGACCCCAGTGCCCAGACGTGCCAAAACACTGGGCATCAGCTCTCAGCCTCACTCCCCCATGAGCAATGTCCATGCCAATCTCACAATCACTTGGAATGGTCTCCTGAAAATATGGAACTTCTAAGAACCTACGTTTGCCCTGGGCTCCCCTGTGTGCTCAGGTGTCTGGCTGGTGGGCTGATGCTGGGGTGTTCCACACCAGTCTCTTTGCAGGTGGGTGTGTGGCTGGTGGGCAGATGCTGGGGTGTTCCACACCAGTTTCTTTGCAGGTGGGGGTGTGGCTGGTGGGCCGATGCTGGGGTGTTCCACACCAGTCTCTTTGCAGGTGGGTGTTTTTTCCCTCCTGACACGGTGCTCAGTCTGTGGCTGGGCTGTCAGGAGCTCAGGCTGAAGTTCTAGACAAAGTCAATTTGGATAGAGGTACTTTGTTGTCCCTCTAGCCCTCAGAGGCAGGTGCTGTGCTGAACACTCACCTCTTGAGCAGCTACACAAAGGTTTTGAAGTTGGGCCTTCCAACATTTCCTCAGGAGTGTTTTTCTCCTCTTCAGAATAACAGTGCTACTTTCCAATTCATATGAGCTCTCAAAGCATTTTCTGAAGATGGGAGAGCACCATCTTTCTCTGCCTCAGAAGAGCAGCTGTCAGCTTGCCAGGAGCCTGACTAAAAGGCAGTTTTCTACAAGATACTGATGGCAAGGCTGGATGTTTATGGATCTCTCCAAAGAGAAACGATGTGCACATTTTCCACTGGCTGTTGCACCGAGATGATTCTGATTAACTTTGGATTCATGGAGATAGTAACTCATGATAATGCCATTGTGCTGAGTGGTTACCACTGGTGCCAGTGAAGTAACCATTGCCATGGTCATCTTACTGTTGCTGTGTAATTGCATCAATTATTTCACTGGTAACTGTGTAAATTACCACAAGTGCAACTGTGTAAGCTGTGGATTTAAATGATGCTTGAGTGAGAAGGGCGTCCAGTTATACTCTGAGCCTCTCCCTTAAATGGCTTTAAAACCTGTCACCAAGATCACCTGCCCAGCAGCTCTTTGCCTTCTTAGTGGCTCTGTAAGTTTTTAGGCTCTGAGTACTGAGCACTCACCACCATGGGCTGTGGTGTCACCACCTTGCCTCCAACGTGGCATGGGGGGCAACCTGACTTCATCCTTCAGACTCGGCTCAGGAATGGCTGTGTTGTTCACCAGGGTGACTCGTGCACTCTGTCAGCTCCTGAGCAGACTGGAAACGCCACACTTCACACAATTGGCAAGGCACTTGGGACTTTTTCTCTTTTTTTAATTACACTTTTACGCTTGGCTGGCCCAGAGAAGATGTGTCTTCTGCACAGAGACAGCGGGAGGTGAGGTGGGATTAGCGTGGGGCCGGGGGCCAGTGGAGAGGCAGCTCCCTCCTGTCTACGTTAGAACCAAGGCACAGCAGAATGTTGCCAGTCCCAGTGGGAATGACTGACTCTGCTCCCTCTGCAGGTGACCTGTCTCCACGATTTCTTTGGGGATGACGACGTGTTTATCGCCTGCGGTCCAGAGAAGTTCCGCTACGCACAGGACGACTTCTCTCTGGATGAAAGTGGTAACGTCCAACACGCTGCTCTCCAGCCTCTGCCTGCTTTTGATTTGATTGCCATGCTGTTGCTTGCATCTGATAATAATGCTGCATGCTTTTGTTCTACTTTTTGAGACCTAGTACATGGAATTTAACCTCCTTTTGTGATACTTGTGTAGTCATATTATAATCAGGCACATACTGACTGAGGTAGCCCAAGTCAGGATGGATGGACTCCTGCACCACTGACATTTACTGCAAAATCTGGTAGTGTATATCCTTTCAATTTTATTTAGTTGCAGTCAGACACGTTTTTCTTGAAAACTAAACAGTAAGACACTTGTCCTGATGTACACATGTGAAGATTAAACAAAGGGAAGAAGCACAGTTAAAATAAAAATCATTCCCTCCACTGCTTTCTTCTGCTCAGTCAAAAAGCAGGGCAGTAATTCCCTTTTTATGGGAGTGGGACTGGGGCAGCACCATTATTTGTCCCTGTTACAACTGCAAGCACAAATCTGTAATAATGTGAGTCTCTGTGATAGATTAAGCCATGAAATCTTTGATTTCACAGAATATACAGAGCTTGCTTGTGGGAGTTACCACCTACCCCACCTGGCAGCTGCATACAACAGCACAGGCTGTCTGCTGGTGCCAGAGAGGGGAGCAAGAGTGAATTAACGTAACTTTGGCCATTTAAACTAGAAGAAAATGGGGTCTCCAAACATTCAGGCACAATTCCCAAAGCTCTATGTATCCTATACAAGGAACAGGAGCCCTGTGCTGTTTTACATGCTACAAACTGGCTCAGCATTGAAGGCCAAAAAGGACTTTTGCTGTATACCAGGGAGCCAAGCAGGCTGTGATCTTCAAACACTGCAAGCCTGGTTTTATTTGATGCTGGTACTTCTGACCTGTGTACTCCAGATGAACCCATCTGATGGTCTTGGGTAATTCAAAGAAGGTTTCCAGGGTTCAGCTGCAACTTTGCAGGCAGAGAATAAAGCCTGTGTCAGGCTGGGGAAGTGATCTGTAACCTAAGCTGCATATTTTTTTTAACACTCAGCAGTTGAGTCAGCTCCACAGGGAGTTCCACACTGTAAAACAGTTTGGATGCAATCCTAGCAGAACAACTTGATGGGAAGCCCAGCTCTCTGCCTATACTCCTGATTACCACTGATTTTTCCAGCTTGGATTTCTCTAAGAAAACTAATCCAAGCCTGCTGTTGGGAAGGCAGCGAGTAACTGCAGCTCTCAGTAGTATTTTCAGGGGAGCAGGGGTGCCCTGCACCTCTCAGGAGGCAGATGAGGAGCTATTAGCCAGCAGTGTTTCCCCATTATACACCCATCATCCTTCCTTGCTACTAATCAGATGCTGCAAGGAGAACTGCAAGTCCTGAGGTCTTGCAGATGAATGTCACTTATTAAAATCTCCTCTGTCATGGGGTACTTTTTCTTGCCTGTTTGGATGACATGCACTTGGATTGCTGGTTATTATGTTCACTCTGGCAGGACATCAGGAAACAAAATGAGGAATAGCATAAGAGAGGATTATATCATCTTTTCCTCCTGGCTGCCCACCACAGCTTCCATCCTGTAATCCCTGTTGCTGAGCACCTTCCAGATGAGGTTGCTCTGCCTCATTCATACCCACTGATTCCAGCATTAGCCCATGGGAACGTCACAGCCCCTGTCATTTCAGAGGCCTGTTCACACTCACTTCAGCACAGCCAGCTTTCCACCTTCAGAACCTTGTGTTGAGATGTGGAGATGCTCAGCGACTGCCTTTGGTGCACTGACACTTTTCAGTGCCTGAGCTGGAGGAACTCCTCAGAGTCAGCCTTTCTGGGCTGGAAAATGCACAGCCCCCCTTGGCTGCTGAGGTACCCATGTGATAGGTGTCACACAGGAGGACCAGGAGACCTGCTCTGCTCCAAGGAGGCTGCACTCTCCTGTATCTCACACAGCATTTGGTGCCTGTGGCTGGCCAGATGAATCCTGCTCTGAGATAAAAAACTTGCACTTTTTGTTAAACTGCTATATGTAAGAGCTTTGAAAAATGTCCCTTCTGCAGGCACTGAACATGGTTTTTCCTTGGGTTTTGGCTTGGCTGGTTAATACCAGGAGCATTTATTAGCACACTTTCCCTAGTGGCTATATCACAGTATCTCAACAAACATCATATTCTTTAGTATCAAGGATGGATAGTCTACCTTGAACACCTGTCCCCACCCATGATCTTTATACATGAAGAGCACATGAATTGCTGCTCTTCATGTATAAAAACTTGGGGCTATATCAGTACTAGAGCCCTACAAGCTTTCTGTGCCATCATCTGGGAGAAGTCAAGTACCTTTAAAAAAAAAAAAAACAACAAGTTTTTCTACCCCTGATTTACAGCTTCCAAAATCCACTTGGCAGGAGAGAGAATAAACTAAGTGTAGGTTTAATTATCCCCAAGCAGTATCCCTGGAGCACAGGGCATCCTCTCTTCCTGTTCTTGTACTGTGTGACCCAACAGCAAACTCTCTCTCAAGCCATCTGGAAGCAGAGACTGCCTCTGGACTGCCTGAGAATGAGCAGAGCCTGGGGGGAAATATAAGGCAATTACATTTTCATAGATATACTGATATATAAATAAATAACACATACATGTAGGTCAGACAACTTGTTTTCGGTTGACCAATTATTTCTGCTGCCTTAGTTGATTCCCATTAGGGAATCCTCCAGTCCAGGGAGGCCTCAGTCCAGCCCCTGTGTGCTGAGCTGAACTGCTCCATGAAAACCTCTCTGTAGGTGGAACAGCTCATTCACATCTGCCAAAAAGCCCTGGCTTTCACATCTTAGAGAGGACAGTCTGCTGTAGGAGATGAGGTGAGACCAGTTAGCATTTGACAAAAAGGAAATCCAGTTTTTATTGCCTTATCCTTAACTGGGTTAAGTTAATAACTTGAGGGGTGGAAAGTGCTTTTTCTGTAAGCTCTCACTGTAAATGAGCCATGGTTTGGAAGATGTGGCATGGCTGAAATCCTGGGGGACACAGAGGTTTGTTAGCATTTCAGTCCCCTTCTGCAGGACACTGAGGATCACGTTGATATTTTCCACTCTTCCTGGCTTATTTATTTTTTAAGAAAACACAGTTGGGGTTCTCATCTGCTCATGTCTTTAAGTACATAAATCTACTAGACTTGTTTATACAAAACTTTCAGAAAGGGATGAGTGGCCAGGATGGGGGATATGTTTTGTAAAACCATTTTGTCTTTGCTTTCTGCATCTGAAAAGTTGCAGCTTGTTGAAACCACAGAAGAGGTTGACTCAGGCTGGGTGAAAGCCTCCTGGGGCAGATGTCCCATCTGCCAGTCAGAGACCTTTATGTCACACCATGAGCTGTTTGCTGGCTTTCTCCACCTGCATAAATTGCACTCCTCATTCCTACTATTAGGTGTTCATGGAAGGGTTACAGCAAATTAACTGGGTTTTTTGCCTGGTTCTTCCCTCAGTAAGCACTGACCATTTTCATTGTGCACACTAGCTGGTGATAACCAAAACAAAGGGAAGGGCAGAAAATCTTTTGTGGGACACAGGTATGGAGATGGGCCCTGCTGGGGGGCCAGCCTCACCTTGATGTACGCTGCATCAGCACCTCTAGAAGAGCAAAGCTGCTGTTCTTTTTGCTCTCCCTCCCCCTAAAAAGCCTCTTTTCTGCTCGAGAGCAAACGTGGAGAGAGCAGCTTTGGATGCTTTGTGCTGCTCTTTGGAGGCAAGGCAGTAGGCTGCCCCCAGCGTTCCCCGGCCGTGTCCCCGGGCAGCCCGAGGAGGCAGGGACCTGAGCAGGGTTGCTGTCTGTTCCCTAGAGTGCCGGGTGATGAAGGGGAGCCCCGCGGCCGCCACGGGCAGCAAGTCATCCCCCACCCCCCAGAAGAGCTCCGCCAAGAGCCCCGCGCCCATGCGCCGCAGCAAGTCCCCCGCCGATTCAGGTAACCAGCCCGATGGTGAGTGATGCTTCCCTGCTCTCGGGCTATCAGGTGTGCTCAAGAGAAGAGCACATCTTGTGTGTCTTTGGATACGCCCACCCTGGGGGTTTGCGTAGCAAAATGTGGCATTTTTTAAGAAGAAGGGGCTGGTGCTAGTGTACAGGAGCACTTAAGGCCACGTTGGATAGGGCTTTGAGCAACCTGGTCTAGTAGGAGGTGTCCCTGCCCATGGCAAGGAGGGGTTAGAACTAGAATGGTTTGGGTTGGATAGGACCTTAAAGATCATCTATGATTCTGTGAAATATTGGAGAGGAATTCTCTGGTCAGTGAAGTGCAGTTGGAGCTTTAGGTCATAGCAGCCAGTCTCACAACCTGCTGCCTTAACAAAACTTTAAAAGAAGTTTCTATTCCACAGGCAGGAAATCAAGGCCCACAGTGCTCCCCTATGTTCCCTCTAGGCACAGACTGATTTAGAATAACCTCCTGTGCAATGCAAATGATAGTTATTGTACAGGTCAGGAGTGTCCTCTTCTAGTCATTATTTAAAGAAGACCAGTGACCTAGTGATTGGAGAACTGGAAAGCTGCAGAGCCTATAAGTTAAAGGCCAGTCTGAATATCACACTTCTGGTAATTGATAGTTTTAGAGTCATGATGATGAGGGTGAATTTCTAGGTGTGTTATCTGTCAGGCTGTTTTTTTTTCCAAAGGAGAACCAGACATGGCCCTTCAGTAAATGGCCAAATCTCCAGATTCCAGGAGAGCTTCCTGGCTTAATCAAGTGACCCAAAGTATTAGCACCAGTCCTATATAACAAAGATTGCTTTTCACCTTCATGGTAACACATTGCATATTGCATGTGAACACCACACACCACCTGACCATCAGTAGATCCTGACAGTATTCAGAAAGATTTTTCCCCAGGAAGCAGTTAATTTTGTTTAGGGGCTCCTGATGGTCTTCAGCTACTTAAAAGAGACAACATGAAATTGTTTGGCACATGCCAAGATTCTGTGCTTTTAAAAAGTTCTTTAGTTGTAAGGTGATTCTGAATTTACAGTTTTCCTTCAAGATTCCAGTGTTGGCTGTTCTTAAATTCAGGCTTGTTGTACTCTAAAAAGCTTTTACAATCCCAGTGCATGGTGAAGTTGCATGGATACATTGAAGGCATGATGGAAATTATGTTGTGGATTTAAAAAACCCCAAACAACTCCCATTCAGTGACCTGGGACTCAGATCATTCATGAGTTGTGAAACAGCCATTTAAACTTTCTCCATAAGCATCAGGTGCCAAGTGCCACCAGAACTAGACTTTATTGCCTGACCAGATAGTCTGATGTGAAATGTCAACTACTGTGCTCCTGATTTTAATGGATGGAATGACTCCCAGGAACAAAATGGTGAGTCATCTGATGGAGTTTAATGAACACAGTTAGCAGAGCCTTTCAGAAGGAGATTAAAATAACCAGAAATGCTGAACAATAGCCAGCTCCTGGAGTTAAGGCCAATAATGAAGGACAAATCAGGTTTTTTTAATCCCTCTAGACAAGGGTCTTTGGTACTTCCCTGTGATTTCAATACAGAAAAAAACAGCAGCCTGTTCTGCTTAGTGTGAATAAAAAAAGACTGAACTCTTTCAGCATAGAAAGATAATCAAAGAATGTCGTTTTCTCAGGACAGAGGGAAAAAAGAATACTATCTTGTGTTCTTGTTCCTTGAATTTGTAAAAAATAAGTGGGTTTACACATTGCTTAAAAGTCAGTATTTACATTTAGCTGGATTTTGAAGTTATCACATTAAAAATGCTGAATGAATCCTGGCTAATGAAAGATGATCTGACCGTTTTTTTTTTCTCCAGAATTTGTGAAATGATTTAGCAGTTTTAATTTAAGATTTGAAGCAGTTTTATTTCAAGTCTATTAAATATTTTGCTATGTGTTTGACCTCCTACCCATTTGTACCTTTTGCCTTTGCTGTCTTTCACTGTGCTGTGGTCCTTATACCAGAACCTGGCATTTCCTTCATCTTTTGTTGTTAGTTTCCATTCTTTTCAGGTCTTTTCTATTCTTCTCTGTTCACTTCTCTGGCAGCAGATAGTGGACAAAGGTAGTAAGTCACTGTTACAGCACAGAGGGAGCAGAAAAAACTGCTGCAGCAGAGCTTGCTAGTGCTAATTCTGAGGCTGTAAGGTTGACAGCATACAAACATTGCATCTGCTTTCCCTTCCACTTGCTGCAGGAGCACTTCTGATCTTTATGTGTCGACATAAATAAAGCACTTCTCATCCAAGGCTGTGGAAGTGCTGTGTGCCTGAGCAGCAGCTCTCCTCCACACAGACAGGGCTATCTGGGGACTTGAGTTTTCTTCCAGTCTCCTCCACTGACTCATTCCATGGCTCTGAGTACATCATTTAAGCTGTTCATGACTTCTTTCCCAATGGATCATCCAAGACAGTGATAAGCCATCTGTGTACAGAGCTCTGTAATCTACCTGTGGAATCAGGCACAAGAGCTTCCTGGCTCTTTATTTGGGGCATTTTGTGTATTCTGAAAACATTTGGAGAATAATATTGCTAAAACCAAATCTGTTATCTCACAGATTGCCAGGGACAAAAGACATCTCCAGCAGCAGAGTGACTGCAGCATGTGCTCCTGATCTTCCAGCCACATGAATAGATGTAGCAAACCTGTAAATCCAGCACTGAAAAGAAGCAGATTCTAAGCTATTTAATTGCTCCTGTCACCAGCTAGATGTGAACTCTTCTCTGACTGTCTTGTTACAGCAGTCCCAGTAATGAGCTACCTAAGTGGTCAACTCCCATTCCAAAACAACAAGGATGAACAGGGAGCAATGAAGAACACATAAACCATTTTCTTAAAAACCATCAGGACAAAAGTCTGAGCACAGACGTGCAACTGCAGAGAGGGTGCCAGCCCCCAGCTGCAGCCAGTCGAGCTCACTGGCTGCATTGCTGCCTTCTGCTGGAGGTAATTTGCCTCCTGCCTGGATGTGTCATGGCCTCGCTGTGAAAAGCTCAATTCCCACTAGGCAGCCAGAGCCCTTCAATTCCAAGGCTCTGAAAAAAAAGGAGGTTGCTAATCCACAGAAACATGTTAAACATCGTTTCCTTCCACGGTACTTTTATCTCTTTATTTACCATACAGTCATTTAAATGAATAAATGAAAATTAAATGAATGAATGAAGATTAAATGAATGAATGAAGAAGTGTCTTGCTATAAGCAGATGGCAACAGACCACAGTCCTTATATTCCCAAGGGAAATCCTTTCTTCCTTCTCTCATTAACCCCCAACCCATGTATGTCCCTTCTCAGCCACATCAGTGTGTTTCTGGTTTGATCCAGCTCTTCCTCCAGACACTGTGCTGGCCACTCCATCGTGGGCTGTTTGCACCTCTTGCTTCAGTTTGACTGGAAGGCCCTGGCTGCTCTGCCAGCAGTTCCCACTGGGCTTCCAGTGCATCCTTCAGTTTCCCATCTCTTTGGTGCTGGAGCTGTGGTGCAGGTTTTCATCTATACCCTCCACCTAACTCCCTCAACATCTTGCTTCCAGCAAGGTGCAGTTAGAAGAGTACAGCAGGATTTGAATTCTCCCTCTACAAGAACACAGCCAAGTGCCTTTCTCTTCTTTGTCTCCCAGATGTTAGCTAGTAGAGTTGAACTAGTTTCCCACATACCAGGTGTAAGTCAAGAGTGGGAGGGGTCAGGGCTTCTAGCTGGCCTTAGTTGAGCTTAGACAGAAGAAGACATTTCCTAGGGTTCAGAAACTGCTTTTGCTTCCTTTTGGGAAGGAAATGGACTGATTGAACTTGGAAAAAAAAGAAGATTGAGAAGGAACAATTAACACTCTTCAAATACATTTGAAGTATAAAAAAAGAGGACAAGGATCAATTTTCCTGTGTGCCTGTCAGGGAAAGGACAAGGCATTGGTTTAATTTTTAGTAAGAGTTATATAGATCATATATTTGGAATAATTAGGAATTAATATTTTCAATTATAAACATCTTAATCACTGAAGCTGCTCTCCTAGGGAGCCTGTGAGTTCCTGTCAGACTTGGTGCTTTTAAAAACTAAGATCTCTATTGGGGATGACCCAAATATATCTGATTCCAATTTAGAGCATAGGGCTGCAGTTGCAAAGCTTTTACAGTTGCTTCTAGCCTCGATTTTTCTTTCTGTGAAGTCAGCTTTGCTAAATGACATAGCTTAGAGCAATAAAGTCCAGACTAAACTACACCCTCACTATACCATCCGTTTCCCTCTCCTAACATGACAGATGAAAACTGTGTGTAAGGAGATAAGTCTCTGTGCTGCTGCTGTGGTCCAGGAGATTTAAATGGGGTAAGGTCAACAGGAAGGTTGGGAGAATTTCTTTAACAGACCACTCCAGTAAGAAGTCAAACCAAGCAAAAGACAGAGCTGAATCTCAGGGGAGGAATACAGGGGGGAGAATAATGATGTCATTTGCCATTACTTCTTTGCTAGAAAAATAAGAATTTATCTTACAGTAGCACATAACAGACAAGGGCTCAGTTGTACAAACCTGTGATAGGAGAGTTTATGAGCTTTAAAACCAGCATGATCTTAGTCCTTTGCAGTGCAGAGCCACAGGTACCTGAGCTTGAATTTGAAAATATCTTTCCCCAGCTTTGTGTTGATCTGAGCAGGGCTCTGAGGCACTGCTGCAGGACTTTAATTTCTCAGTCCTCTAATGTAGGGGTTTGGATAGAGGAACAAAAGCATCTTCAGAAGGCAGCAGCGATTAGCAAAGCAGACACAGAAAGTCAGTCTGTCCTGACTGCAGATCTGGCTCCCCAGGGTCATTATATATGAACGTGTTAAAAAGGCAGCAGATGTCTTTGGGATGGCACACGATGGAGCAGCTTGTTGTGCCACTTGTGCTTCCTCACGTTCTGCTAGCTGACATCCACAGTGCACAGCCAGCAGAGACATCACCCTCCCAAAACAGGAGGGGAGCAGGGTGCCAGAGCTGCAGAGCCACGTGCTGGGAAAACAGGAGGTGCCTGAGCCAAGGAGCCTCTGCAATCTGAATGCTTCCACTCCTGAATAGGCACTACAGTGGAGTTTATTTGTCCCACAGGCCCTGTGTCCTGGAGTGCAGGGTGACCTGTGCTCACTAAAAGAGCTGCCCTTTGTACCTTTGCTTTATGCTCTCCTTGTTCTGGTTGTTACCTCTGTTTTCTTGGGGATGCTTCAAGCCCTGACCTGGAGACAAAACCATTCATGTATTTCCTGGGTCTTTCTCTCACTCTTGTGATGTACGAGCATGTGCTACTCAAACTAGGAACTCATCTGAAGAACTCTGGGAACCCCAGTGGAGCAAGGAGTACTGATCTCATTTTACAGCTGATAGAAGAAGAGACATCTCCACACATATTGAGCATTCACCACAATCCTTGGGCCCTGCTTTTTCCAGTTCTGCTTATTGATAGAAACGTGAGTTCAAAAGATGGACCAGGTCTCAGTGCTTATCACTGCTGGAAATTCAGATCCAGAATCCCAGTCATCCAAGCGAACCTGAACAACACTCAAGGAACAATTGCACTGGAGAAGTTTGACTGAAACATCTGTGGGAGAAGCAGGCAGAGGATTCAGTTTACCTGGATCTCTCATAGCCCTCTCAAACATGACATGATGCTGTATTCTCCATCCTCCCCCTCAACTGCTGGACAAGCCTTGACTTTCCTCCCGAGTACAAATTGTCTTGTGCACTGAAGGAGGTGAAGAGCCTATGAAAAAAAGTAGTGCCCGTGTTCATGCAGTGAAAGGATGTGTCATGTACACAAAGGGCCTTCAAGGTAAATTGAGGTTGCAAAGCAGATAGGATGACATAAACAAGACATAACCCAACTGAATTCAAATGAAAGCTGAGTTATAAGGAATGGTTTCTAATAGCCAAACTTCTGTGACATCCTCAGCTACAAGTCATCAGCAGGTTTTAGTGGAGCAGCAGCATTCTGCACCACCTGGGATCTGCTCTTTGCCTCTTGTTATTTCCTTGCATTTCAATTCCAAAGGAACACATCCAGGTTTGATTATGAACCCTGTTCTTCCTTAGCAGATGTAGAGAAAATTAAACTCAACTTCTTAATTGTTGCTCCTGCTGCAAAACTCTTTGTATTGGTAATGATTTACATCCGTCTCATTCCATTTCTGAGTTGGATGGCACATCTGCTTTTTCGTTAGTGCTCATAAAATATTAACATCCCTGCTGTAGCACTCAAAAGTCTCATTGTATTAGGGAATTTCTGTCCTTCCCTGCAGCAATTACATCTGCTTGCTGCACATGGACTGTTGGATGTTCTTCCAGTCCTCCTGTTCGTGGAAGGGAAATGTTGGGTACTTTGTGGAGTTAAATGGCATTCTTCATCTTAAGAAGGATTCCTTCCTGCCTCAGAATGAGTGACAACTGGAATAATAAAGAAAGATATTTTTAGAATTAGAGATAGATTCTAGTTAATACAGATTATATTAGTACTATTGTACCCCACATTTTCTTTAACAGAAAACCCAAAGTCACTTGGTGAACAACAAAAAAAAAAGAGATCCAAGTTCTATTTTTTTAATAATTGCCTTCATTATATGGCATCTAGTTAGTGAACTCTGCTTCTTCTCCCAGCAGCCTTGAGGGCAGCTCACTTCGCAGAACTGGAGTGAAGCAGAGAGCAGCATGTCACAGTGCAGGGACTGGTGTCTAACAGTTCCAGGGCTTCCATAACTAGTTTTTTCCCCCCACCAATAAAGAATTATCTGAGTGAAATGGGGAGGTGAAGGGTCACTCAGTTCCCCAATTACCTGAAAATCATTATTTCTACTTCCTTTCAAGAAATATCTATTTCCTCAGTGCATTTGTAAGGGGGAAAAAGCTCTCAGTGATGAATAGCCTCCTCTTCCCTGTAGTGCCTTCTGTGTGGGAGTGATGGGTGTGAAGGCAGAGGCTCCACATCACCATGCATCTGTGGAGTCAGAGCTGCTTAACATGCTGGCAGCTTCTCCTTTGTCCTGTGCCTTGGAGCACAGGTTTCTTCAGACTTACTCAAATCCATGTGTGACCTCTATATTTGGGGCAGTAGTACCACAAACTTTAACTGTCCCCTCCTTTCTCACAAGAAGGTGATAGAGAAGAGGAATGAGGCTCTTAGGCATTAAAGCAAGAGTTAGGCTGGTTTGGCTCTTAAAAATAGAACTCTCACACACCTTCTTCTTCATGCATGTTATTTTCTACACTCTGTCTGCTCTAGACACTCAACTACTTGCTTAATTTAAAGTAACTGATTTGCATATTCAGCTATTACAATTGAAAGCATAAGTCCCACATGCTGAACTCATCCCTCCTGCTGTTCCAGTTGGAGTAATGGTAGAGAGAGAGATTGGGCATGCAGGGAGCAGGACAACAAGCCCATCATTTTATGCTTGTTTTTCTCTCTGGGTGAAACAGCACAATTGCAAATGTTGTCTTTAAAAGGGGTAGGGATTTGTAGAGTTATCTGGAGGGCTGGCAACATTATTGCCATTTAAGGAAATGACAATCAAAATATGTAGGGTTTAGTTTTGTGGCGTGTGCTGAGTACGTTCTCATCTGGAGTAGGTTTTGGACATGTCACTTTCTGTAGACTTGATTGGGGTATGTAGTTTAATGCTCAGAAGGCCTCCAGCTTGCTGCTGCTGCTGGGATTGCAAAAAGAAGAGGGCAGAAAAGATAATATACTTGGACACAGCCATGGCGTGAGTTTGGATTTCCTTCCCTCAAGTAATGCTGCTGTTCTGATGGACCTATGTGTTTACCACCCCTGGTAACAAGGGGGTCTGTACCCCTGGAGTTGATACACAACCTACGGATGGCCAAGTTCACTCTGTGTCAGTGTGGCCTTATGAAATATGTGTTGTGACACCCAGGAGTTACCAAAGACATTAGCTCACTTCAAGGAACATCAGCAGTAGGAAAAAAATTGATTTATCCTTACTGCATTTTGCTTCCCTTCATTTTTCTGCATAATGTGCTCTTGACTTTGATTTCTTTTTAGTCCCATAAATGTGTAATAGCTGGCCCTGACACAGACCTGGGGCCTGTCCCTTTCGCTAAAAGCCAGGGCTGTGAACAGACCCTTCCAAAGGCCATTTGGTTTAAATGAATCAGAAGGTTTTTAATGGAGAATAACTATGTTTTCTTCAAAGCATCATGAACAAACAAAGCAAATCAAAAGGCCAGACTGTGATCTTTGCAAGAGGGTTGTCACTTGATAGGATTCTCCTGCTCCTCCTCTGATGGACCGTGGTCACTTCTCTGGTGCAGGCAGTGCAGGAACAGCAGAGCCAGCTCTGGCCTCTCCCCAGAGAGGTGACCAGGGACACGCCACCCCGGGCTCACACCAGGGCTTCACAAGGGCTCTTTGAGTCATTTAACCCCAGCCCCAGCTCACTGCACCCAGGCAGCTGTTGTCTCACAGTGTGTGTATTTGACATCTCATGTTTCGTGTGTAGGATCCGGGATGTCTGCAGCCTCTGGTTACTGCTCATGCCCTTAAGTGCCATGTGGTTTCAATTGCATCAAACTGTTTGAGAACAGAGAATTTGTATCTCTGGTTTCCTGGTGATGTATATCTTGGACCAGTTTGGGGAATATTTGTAATTTGAATATTGCTCTTTCAATATATTTTGTATTCCACTATATTTTACAGTCTATTATCCTGAACAGCTGAAAGCCTTAAGTTGGGTGAGTGGCCATGCTCTTCACTTGGGTTTTTCTCCTGCCTAATATGAATAAACAATAGCATTTCTGTGCTAAATGTCTGGATACCTTCCATCTCTCCAAAGGAGAAAGAAGATCCTCCTCTTGCTTGTCTGATTGCTAGCTTCTGTCTTCTTTCCTGACAGCAAATGGGACCTCAAGCAGTCAGCTCTCTACACCCAAATCAAAGCAGTCCCCGATCTCCACACCTACCAGCCCAGGGAGCCTCCGTAAGCACAAGGTATTATGTTTCTTATACCTTACTACTTCTCTTTCTCCCTTCATCTACTTGTAAGTCATGGCCATATTCTCTAGAAGCACCACTCTGTATGTTGAAGCAGTGGAGAATTTGGCCCGTTACCTAAAAGGGTTGTCACTTGGGGGTTTAGCAAGATGGTGAACAACAAATAAACCATCAGCCTGTTTCTTCCACTGGAGATTTGTGCTGGAGATCATCCATATGGATCAGAAGAGATCATTTAACCCTGAGCTTGTATCACTATTTGAAAAGTTATTGATGGATATGGTCTTCACATAAATCCTTGAGAAGTCTTAAGTGTTGGCAAATCTGGTCTGTTAAACAGGAAAAATGCAGATGTTACTGAAGCTCTAAGACATCACTTTAATGATGCTTCTCAAGGATTTTTGGTTTTAGTTCTTTAAGGCCATGCTCTGTTTTGCAAGAAAGAAATGATTTTTTACAGCTGGTGTAGTGATTGTCTAGGGGTACAGTAGGTGGTAGCAAGCAGAGTGTCTAACAGTCACAGCTTTTTATGTCCCTGTTATTCAGGGCCATCCTGCACTGAGTCCAGATTGGGCATTCTCATTTCTGGAATAGCCATGGTGTTGCTTCCAACAGTCTGTATTTGATAGAGAAATTGCAACTTGGACATAAATGGAAGTGTGAGAGGAGCTCCATGGGATTTCTCTTCAGCAGGCAGAACGTATGTCTCAGGCCGAGTATGACTTTGAAAGCATTGACTTGAAATTCTGGAAGAGTAATTTAAAAATCCTGCTAGTGGTGAGGTTTTGTAGGGTCTAGATTGTGTGGGCTGAACTTGTTTTGTTTGAGGATGATGTTTTTTCTCAAAGTGAGAAGAAGCAACTGGACTATAGTTGTTAGGATGGTGGAACAAAGCACAGACGTCAGCCAATGAGGAGAATCCCCAAAAAGTCCAGTGGGCTTTGGATTACACCTCTAACATGTACAATTTTGGATCGTAGACCTTTGGACATGGGGTTGAATGGTACTGGGTGAGCCTGAGGTAGACTTTTTGCTTCTCAAAAATCAGATCTTTAAAATATTCCCAGTATATGGCTGTAGTTACTCAGCTCTGTTTGACTTTCTTTAACAAAGGCCTGGCTGAATCCAAATGAAATCTGTGTTTTCCTCAGGACTTCACTCTTGTCTCAGCTGTTCAGTCTAAGTCTGAGGAAACACATCAATTTCAACACAGTGGGTCCAGATTTATTATTAAATTATAACTGAGAACAGGATCTGGCCCATAGTCTGAATTCAACATTGCTTGTGTTTATTTCACCAAAAGTAATGCTGTAACCTGCATCCTTTGCTTCAGCCATCAAGGACCTGAAATAGTCTCCAGACACTGTCTCATTTAGGACTTTGGAGATGAGCATTTGCTTCCTGGTAAAGACAAGTAAAACTCCCCTTCTTTAACGTTTTATGTATGTTTTCAGCTGGCTGATTTATGACCTTTCCAGTGAAGCCCCTGGAAGATCTGTAATGGATGGTGACTGCTGGAGACAAAGCCCATCCATCTATGAGCTTCTGCACTAACTTAAGCCAATCAACAAACACAAACATATTGTTTTGAGTTACCAGAATATTCATGCATCATTGTCTTTTTCCTAGGGGCTATTTCCTGCTTATGATGAAATCACTTTTCTTTTTTTCCCCTAAAGCTCAAGTGATAAATGCTTAGATTGTGTTCACCACAAAGTCCTATTTTACCTTTTCTTATGTCAAGATCGTTGTGAATTTCCTTTGTGTGTATTTGGGCTTTTCTTCATTGTGCTCCCAGTTATTACCTGTGTTGTGCAGGTCAGAGTTCAAAAAGGTCCAAGGAGAGCTTCAGCCCTTGAGCTGGCTTGTGTGCCTAGTTCCACACAGAACATTAAGGGAGTGGAGTAAGAGAGTTACCCCAGAAAGGGATCCTGGAAAAGCTCTGCATTCAGTATTTGATCCAAGTAATAAACTTGGGATCATTTTCTTAACCCTTCTAATTGATCAGAAATGATTTAAACTAAAGGATAAATCATGGAGCATGTGATGTTCCGAGGGATTTGTCCTAAGGGTAGCTGTCAAATCAAGGTTAGATGCCTTCATTGTGGACTTAGTTTCCAAGAGACCTATTAAGGAAAAGTCCTGCTCTCAGACATGCTACAATGGACACACTGATCCACAAGCCATTAAAAAATACTTCTCAAACTTCTCACTGAACAGCCATCTCTCTTCTGGTGCCAAGATCCTCTTGCTCCACCGTACAAGGAACCTGCCTTGATTTCAGCCTTGAACTCCCTGGACAGCTTGTCAGCCCATCCAGTAGCCAGTGCAGGAGTCTGCCAGCCTGTCCCTAGGAGCTGCTTGGAAACAGACACTTCAGCTGCTTCCTTATGCAGGACCAAAGGTGGAACGTGATTTTGTGAGTTAACATCTTCTTCTTTCCTCCTACAGGACTTGTATCTGCCTCTGTCTTTGGATGACTCCGATTCCCTTGGAGATTCCATGTGAAGCGACACGAAGGGAAATGGCCACACTGCAAGCTATGTTTAAGATACAGTAGAGTACTTCTGCCAAAATAAGCAGATAGGTGACTGGTGCTTTCAAAGCAAACAAAGGACACACAGTTGTATGTCATTTTTTTTCTGTGATTTATCCTCCGTGCCACAAATCAACACCTACCAGTCGATAGAGATAGAGGGATACCATTCTTCCAAGTAACAGGGGTGCAAAACGGACATTGTGAGCAATCTGGGGCCAGTATGCCCATGGTCCTGTGCTTCTCCCATTCCCTTCTCTGATTTCTTCTGCAGCTGCAACTATATCATTTGCCTAGTGATAGTAAAGTAGCTCCCCCAGAAGCGTGCAAACGGGTGCCTTGCTCTGCAAGCCCAAGCAGAGCAAACGGTGCTCACCAGCTGCCCAAGCTGCCAGCCTGCAACCCTCACCTGCAGCCCTGCAGACTGCCTAGGACTGGTTTTATTGTTGGAGGGCAGGAAGGGAAGGGATTAGTTTGATGTCTAATATGCCAGCAGAAGCTTGGACAAGGTTAGGAACGATTATGAAGACACTGAGTAAGGTTAGTCCAATAGCGATTCAAATATTGGGATTTTTAAATTTTTTTTTTTAATAATTAAGCAAAAAAATATTGTCAGCTGAGTTTTCTGGAGTGAAACACCTTTTATATATGACCCAAAGTTACTGCTAGCTGGTAACAATTTTTTCTCCCCACCCTATGGTATCTCTCTATCTCTGTTTGTAACAGTAATGCCTTGTCAACAGCCAACACTGAAAACACTGTGAGAATTTGTTTTCAGGTTTGACACCCTATAGGTCACTTTTTATAGCAAAAAAATCAATACACTTTTTATAAAGGAAAACCTTGTATCTGTGTTTTGGGAGTAAAGATTCAAGCTCCTTCTTTTTTATAAAAGCTGGTAATTTTCTTTTGTTTAAAAAACACGTTCAGAAAAATGTACAAAAAAAACCAACCGACAACTGCAGAACAGTAACAACAACAGCTCGGTTTAGAAATCTTGTCATCACTGCCAAACCAGACACACGTAGGGGGGAAACAAAGGTCAATTCAAAATATTGAATGTTTTGATAGTTTTTGTAATGTTTGAGACTATGTCTTTGGTTTTTTACACTTCAGTATTCCTAACTACGGCCAGATTCTCTACTTATATAACAAAATAGAATTTTGTGATGTTCAAAAACCCGTATTTTAAGAAACTCTTCTATCTGACAAAAACAAACTTACTGTATTTAGAGAAACCTTTTGCTTTTATTAATCAGCAATGACTCCTACAGAATGCAAAGTTCATCTATTCACGCAGGGCTGGTGGTTTTTACGGCGCCGAAGCTTTGTCACAGGTCGCTGGCATTGCCTCCCTTCCTCATGGAAGAAGCTTTTGATGAAACTGATGATTACAGAACTTTACCTAAAGGAAAATTTGTGCAATCAGATCTTTCTTTGTTGCTCTATTTGCCTTTGTTTGAACATACACACCCATCCCCTCTTGCCTTGCAACCCCTTGTGATTAGAGTGAGTTCTAGCGTTGTGACGTTTGCTGGGTTGTTCCCAAAGCCACTCCACGTTTTGTTTGCTTGCACTGCTGCAGGAAACAATCTGTGCAGGCTGCATCTTTAGAGGTTCACATGATGATACATGGAATGCAACTTAAGAGATTTCTCTGAGAGAGGCCAGGATTGGGAATTATCAAGGGGTCAGAGTTATTACGCACCAAATTTGCACCCAGTAGTCTTAGTGCATGATCATTTACACCCCGAGTTTTGCACAAGAAATCATCTGGTCCCACAATTAACTCCATTTAATTGAATAACTCTCTGACTACTCAACTGCTAAACGAGCGTTTCACCTATTGTATATAGAACCCTGTCTGAACGGGAGCAGGTCTCTTGGTAACCCTGTGCCTCAGTCTGTCTGTCTGTCCCTGCAGGGACAACTCTCTTCTACCTCACTGGGGGTTGTGAGGCCAAATGCTGGTTAACATTGTTAAAGTGCTTTCAGATCCTCTAACAGAAGGTGCTCAAGTATTCTGGGTGCAGATTTGGTTATGGGTGCTAATTTTTGGCTGTTTAATCCTGTGAGTGCTACTGCAGACACTGGTCATGAGAAGATATAACTTTTTAAGCATACAGATGTCAAAGGCCATGGTTATGCTAACAATATTAATCCTCAGAGCTTTTGCCTTAGTAAAAGCTTTTGTGGGACAGATAGTTTGACATGCTTTTACTCTCTCCTCTCTTCTGTTGGTGGAAAACTCAGAGTCCCTCCCCAGGTCTCTGCCTTTCTGGGGACCCTGACTAGTAGCCATGACCCTGCCTGTTAGAGATGATGGACTTGGACTCCAGTCAGAGGTGTTGGCACTTCAGTGGCACGGGTTATTCCTGTCACAGTCAGGGTCAGCATGTCCTGCCACCCTTCCTCTGAGTCTCTGCTAAACCAGGAGACCAGCCATGGAATCACATCTAGGTTCAGTTGCTATTCAGTACAGGACACTCACCACAGATCCACCAGGAAAACTTAAATCTTTGATAGCCATAAGCAGACTGAACTGCTAGAGGGGCAGGGAAGGAGTCTGAGAGGTGCTTTCGTCCAATGTCTGGGAGTTCAGTTTGTATAAGATAAAGCAGGATCCCAAGGGGTGAATGAACCTTTGGACAGATGGTTGGTGAGGGAGCTGCTGAGAAGTGGTTCCTTTCCCTCCTGCCACAAGCACTGTTTGGTTAGCTGAAGATGCTTGTCCTGGTGAAGTGTGCTGAGGAATCACTGAGGCCTTCTTCTGAGCTGCACCTAGTGACACTAAAACTTGATCCTACAAGTTCTCCCTTGGGTGTGGAGTTTTGTTTGTACAAGGATCATCCTGGGGTGGGGCTGAGCCAAACAATTCCTTCAGGGAATTCAGAGGACCTTGAAAAGGCCTAAAAGAAGAAAAAGAAATATTGTTCAGTGGGAAAAATAGCCATTCAAACCAGTAGAAGCCACAAAGAAAACAGGGTATGAGGTCAAACTCCCAAGTTTTAAAAAGCAATTTTCTAGGTAGGAATGCCTGGGCAGTAGGAGAAGTCAGTGAGCATTTCAGCTGTAACATAGAGTGAAGTCTGTATTAATGCCAGAATTGCATGAGTTTTGTACAGAAATGCATGTGGAATGTTACCTACATTCAAAACTAGTTATCTGTGACTTTGTAGGATCCCTAGCATAGACTGGAATACAAAGACAAACAATGCACAGGTACTGCACCATAGTCATTTAATTATAAGGACAGCCCTGATTCAGGAAAGAACTTAAAGACATGCTTAAATTTTAGCACGTGCTTTACTCCTGTTGATTTTTCACGAGATGTAAGCTTGGGTTTGGTCAGAGAGCTTTCCTGAACTGGAATGAATTAGTAATTACTTTCTATCCACTGTAATAATTCCAGACCCCAGGAGACCCTGGAGCAGGTGACAGTAATTCCACTATACACTCCAGAGTTTTACCTTTAATATTTTTTTCTACTTTTACAAGCATATAAAACTCCACAGGATATGAGGATTTGCCATATTAATTCTGCTATAAAAACCCTGTCTAATTTGCCTCATGAGACTACCTTTAGTGTTTTCAGAGACTAATTGAATCACTAAGACTATATTGTTTTAAAACAATGTAGTATTTAAAAACAAATTGGAGACACTCTTGAAGTAGCAGGGCTTTGTTTCTTTGAAATCTGCCTTTATTCAGTGTACTTTAGCAGATTTGCATGTACAGTGAGAACACCCATTTCAGACACAGGATTACTCAGAAGGAATTAGAGCAATCCTCCAGGCAGAGACTGGTGGGTTTGGTGTTTGCACATTGCAGTGATGGTCCTGACTGGAGAAGATCAGGGCAATGCAGCAAAATCTTCAGCCCTAGGATTTCTGCCACTGGTAAAGCATTTCTAATCCCAGAGTTTCTGGGTGAGAGCCTCATCTAAGATCAGGAGCTAGTTCAGTTCCACCAGCTAAAGAGCCAACCAAGACCCTCTATGCCTCAAACTCATTTTGAACGAGTTTGGTAACAGGATTTTACCTCGGTCCCCTCTGCAGTGGGAGATGCAAACAGCTCTTGCCCCCCATGGGCTGTGTTTCCCAGAGCTGTGCATTATTTACAATCTTCTCAGGAGCTAGAAACACTGACTGTGTTATTCTCACAGACGACAGATAAATAGTTCTGCTTGGAAAACAACTTCCACATCTCTCTTTCGTTTTGAGCCAGCACATGTATGCATGCAAAAAATCCCACACAGCAGAGCTGTTATTTCTCTCTCAGTTGCTTGAACAGTACTTTATAAGGGCAAAAAGGGAGGTAGGACTGAAAATTGTGGCAAAACAATGTTACACCCAGGCATTTTCAATAGGAAACAACGGCATAAAAGTGTTGGTTTCTTCTTATCCATATGGATTCTGATGACGTTTTCTAGGATGCCTTGTGTCTGCTTTGTCGTGCCTTTGAGGGCAGTGCTGCTCTTGGTGCTGCTGCACAGCCCCCCCTGGGACACTGCTCTGCTTGGCCGTGCTGAGGCTGCTCAGTGACAGCCACCCGGGAGGCCACGGCGTGGCCTTCACTGCAGGGAGCACAGGAGCGGGCCCTGTCACTGCCGTCAGCGGGACCCCGCAGCCCTTCCAGGCAGCTGGAGACTCATCTTCTACTACAGCAGAGGCAGAATCATTTTTAGAGAAAGGAAGAAAAAATAGCCAAGTAAAGTAGGTATAAAATTAGTCCAGAAAGTGTCTCCTCAAGCTAAGACAATCCACAGCCAGAGAAGAGCTGTACAGAGGCGTGTTTACCACACACGAGGTGCTGATCATGGCCAAGACAGAACAAAACAGCTTCTTCTTTCCAGTGGTGATTGAGGCTCCAAGTTCTTTTTCTCGTTGCTGATGGAAGTGGGTTGGAACAGTATTTGGGGTTGGTGAGGTTCTTTGTAGAAGCTAATGTATGGCACTAGATGAAGATCTTT